TTTTTTTTTGTAAAAAAAAAAAAAAACAAAAATGTCTTTGTGGGGGGGGGGGGGTGTATGTGGTCATTTAGGTCTTAAAACCTTTATTTCAGTCATTACAGACTCTGACTTGTGGGAAGAAAAAGACTTGTGAGCATCTCTGACTTATCCACAACATAAAAGAACCGAGACAGACACCTCAATAATAGACACTGGGAAAATTGGCCCAATAATAAAATGAAACTATGCGTCTTGTTTTTAACTTGCTATATGAAACTAACAGACTTTCATCCTTTGAATAACTGTGGCTCAGTGAGAGACATTTGCCAATGTAGTTACACTGAGACCTGAATTGCCAGTCTTTGTACGTGTGAATTTCTGTGTATTTTTAAAAATGTGGTTTTGGTGTGAAAGCGCTGTAAGTGGTCAGTAGTATCAGTAAAAAAAAAAAAAAAAAAAAAAAAAAAAAAAAAAAAGAAATGCACAATATAAATTCAGTTTACCATTTAGGGAAACTTATCTTGTGGCATTAAAATTCATTCAACAAAGACGGTTCTTTCAGGTTCACTCTGAGCCGCAAGCAACAAGCAGGGAGGCAGACTCAATGTCAAATAAATAAATATGCAAATAAAGAAAAAAACTGAAGCCACATCAAACTGTAGAGAAACTTGGCAAGTTCTTGCTAGATTTAAATAAATTACGCATTTTTAACGTGACAGCCTCAAATTTAAATCAGATTTTAAAAAATGGTTTTAATAATTAGAACAGAGCATTATAAATGAAAAAAACATGGCTGAGCTTTGAAACTGAAACAAGATACATTATAAATAAATTAAAATCTTATATCTTGGCCATCTGAATACTAACTTGTCAGTTTTTAATTTTTGGAGGATATGCTACTCTCGGTTTTCCACAGTCGATGAACTAAACAGTCTCTGATTTTAGAGCAGTGAGGTCATCTGAGCATTATCAAGCTCCATTAAATCATTTAATTTACTGTTTGGCAGCAGCTTTTTGCAGCTGTAGACCCTAAACGATGAAGCAAACTGCACATCCACACATTTCTATGATTTATAGCTATATTAGAATGTTCTTCACGAATTGTAACAAATTAAATACTTAAAATTTCCTCTAGTACATTATTTAAAAAAGAAAATGTAATGTTATTGATAAATATGGATGAAAAATGTCTAACGCCACATGATAGCATCATCTCACTTAAAGCAACTTTCATAGGAAAGGTTGAATATGTAAGGTTGAAACAATTAATCTGCTTAATAGTCATGATGAATCGATTATTGACATCAATGTCAACTAATTTAGCAACCGATTAAATTGTTAACTAGAGTAAACAGACTCAGGGGGTCAAGGGGAGTCAATTGGCAGTTTTGTAGTGTTAACCTCAAATCCAATAACGGAATCCTTTGTCATTGTGTTTTAGGCAGTAACATGTTTATTTTCTTATTTTACAAAAGGAACTGAATTATTTATTAGCATCTTTTGACATATTTCTAATGTTGTAAAATGTTCCTATTGGTTTCCACCAGTAGCAACATCCTGTTGTTGATCACATGACTCGTCACACAAACAAATCGTTTCCATTGTAGGTGTGCAAAATACGCTAATTTCCAATCAGCCGAAAAACAAAAAACACCTCATCCTACCACAAAAACAAGCAATCGAAAATCATAGTTTTTTTTTTTTTTTTTTCAAAATTGACATATTTCTATTAAACAAATTTATTTCTGTAATTCCAATATGAGCAACTTTACAATCAATGGAAAGGCAGCTAATGATTGCAATCCATTTAATAATGAATGAAGATCTCATTCTATCCTGGAAACATGAAAACTAGGACACAGAATAACTTCACTGCATATATGAAGACATGCAGCAGCACAGAATCCTGTCAGCCCCACAGAGATTAACTGTATTAGTTAGAAAGTCTGCTCCCAAACATACTATGCTACAATCAAAATAAAAATGTATGTGCAAAAGCATGCGCCTGAATGCAGCTTAAATCAAAGGAAATCAAAGGAAAGTTTTAATATATTAAAGTACATACATACGATATTAAAGGAACCTTCTCCTTCCTGTCCTCTTGCTCGGCTTGTAAACAAACTTTTCTCAGCTCCTACTGCAGTCATGACCAGAACTGTTCAAGTCCCCAAAAGTCTGCAGTAACTATTGGAAATTACACGATTTCTGTACATCCATAGAGGATTACAAAATATGTGAAACTTTTAACCAGGTTTTTTTCTCTCTCTCTCTGCATAGCTCCTCAACAAATTTTCATCCCAAGTGAGACTGAGTTCAATGTCAGGGGAGCACATTAGCACAGCCCTGTACCTGGACCTGAGTGCAGCAAGCAGGTGCAGATTTCCACTGGGAGTCATTCTGGATGGAGGGGAAAATAAAAAGGCCGCAGTTTTTTTGACTCCATTTACCTCTGCTAAGATGCGCATTATTCTAGTTGGGGCAACGAGAGTTTTCACAGCACAATAATCTTAAGAAAGAGGCGAGGGCTTAACTCTATTTACATTTAAAAATTAAATCATCTGCTGTTCTTGAACAATTCTCCCCCCTTTTCACCTCCCCAGAACCCATTCCCTCCCCCGCACTCTAACGATACACTAGCCCCCCTCAATGTCTCTCCTTCGCGCCCCTCCTTCTTCATTTTGCTCATCACAGAGTGATGCCTGGAGCTAGCATGCTAATGTTAGCCAACGAGTTAGGCTATCAGCTCCTAAACCGAACAAAAACAAGCTGTTTGCAGCTTACCTAGTCCAGTTTTTAAACAGTTTCACCTTAAGTTTATTTTGGCATTTTTTTCCACAAACCATATGTACGGTACGAACAGTTTTTGTAAAAACTGTGCAAAAAACAAAGTGTAAAATTTTGAAATCCTTTAACCACAGCTTTTAGCTTATCGCAACTGGAGAAAAAACAGTTTGGTATAAATTAAGAATATGTATATTAGCATATCCTTAGTATATGGATATTAGCTTATACCTCATTCCATATTAAGGATCTATCTGTCTACATATCTATCATTGTGTGTAGTTAGTGTTTTGATGCGTGCATCTGAGTCTTGTCTGTTCTAAACTTTAGAAACTTACAATGAAATACACAAAAAAATTGCACAATTTTAAATCTTTGTACAGCTTGTTAGCAGAAATCAACCTATATGGCATGCCTTACATGCTACAGGAAGCCTTCTTTTACATTTTTTTTTGCACTGTGATGATAAAAAGATTAAACATTTTGGTTCCCTTGAGCTCCCATGTTGATTAACACCCTAAGATGCACTCTATGCATTTCTATACTTCCCATGCTCCAGGCTTACACATGAATTTCTTCTCTCCTCCTCTCATTATATCATTCCCAGATGTGAATTATTTGATGTCGACAAAAAAGGAGAAAAAAGCAGTTTCATCTTCAGAGTATTAACTTCTTAAAAAAAAAACAAAAAAAAAAAAAACATCCACCATCCAAAGAGTGGCACTAATTTTAGACAAAATGCGGAGCAGGCAGGATGAGCGGGATGAGCTCCACATGGCTGATGTAATGATATACTGTTTGAGTATTCAGAATTAGTGCAAATAAAGTCAGACTCTTAAAGGCCATGCAAATAGGCTCATCTGTGCAGATATTAGCATAATCAAAAATCAGATTTCAGCTACATGAACATCACACACAACACATAAATGAATTGTGATTAGAATTACATTTGAAGCAGCTGACAAACAAGCAGAAAGACAAAGTGTACAGTACAACATACAGGTATAAAAATTTAAACGATACATTTCTACAGACACTTACAGTTTATGTAGATTTTCTCTAAATTAGAAGTGTCCCATAAAGTTTCCTCTGATTCATATAGTTACTTCTTGACATCCATGAGCGGCTTTAATTAAGTGGCACACTTATTAAAAAAAGAAGCAAAACACTACTTAGTTTCGGTGTTTATAAATCTGGGTGATTAGAGCAAAAGCAGTGTGACTAATAAAGGATTACTTTGGTGCAGTTTTAAAATGCATCTGTAAATACAGTGGAAGGACTCCGCTCTCTGGTTTCTTAATTAATCTGGTTTCTTCAACGTATTGAAGCTGCTTCACGGTCTCATAGGAGGCATTGTGACTGCAAAAATAAATAAATAAAGCTCATTTTAATAATAAAAAAAGGAGCCCTGTTTGAAAAAGTTAACAGAAAAGTCACAGTGATCACCAGTCAAACTTCACATCTGCACATTCTCTACAGAAACGTCACGAGTCAGTTTAATTAGGACCAGAGGGGTTTCCTCCTCAGCATTAAAGTCAATCGTTTGTGTTTTTGGAGCCTGGAGACCGGAAATATCTGACATTTTGCACAATCCTGGGCATCTGTGCCAATATGACCAGAATTTGAACGGGAAAGTCTCCTGTTGCTCTGCACCTCGGGCAGAATAAAACTGGCAGAATAAAACGAGACAATATTAAAGGCACAAACCTTCATCACGGCTCCTGGAGTCTGCCATACATATTTATATAATTCCCTTGAAACTGAGCAAAAATAAAGAATGGAGGCGTTTTAAATAAGTAAGAATGAATGATTAAACTTTAGTGATTTCTCCAACGCGCTGCTGGTGTGGTAGTAAAAACAACAAACTGCTGGCGAGGGGTTTCTCTTACGAGAGGTTAAACTTTAAATTTATGATAAACATCTATCTAAAATAGGTAAGATCTGTGAGAATAGTTTAATGCGTTATTAACCTGCTGACGGTAATCTGTGTCAGTTTTGCCAATTCTTATCCACACATTACCATTTTATAATCAGCCTACGTCCATCTGGAAGCAAATTATTTTGTATCCATGAGTTTAACATGAGTTATTTCTCTTGATAGTAAAGTGTTCTGATGAAATGCAGCGATAAGCAATGCTCTGTACATTCACTGTCGATACTTGCCAGAGGGCTGGTACCTATATTCATTGATACCCTGCACAAGAATAAGTCAGAATATCTACCTATATTTTTAAAATGTCATAATTAAATGATGTGTTGTTTTTGGAGGGTTGAAAATTACACTCAGTTTCCACTAAACATGGTTCTGGTTGTCATTTGGGTCAGCCTGTCTTATAAAAGTACCTCTTGTTGGTAGATATTTAGTGGAATCAAAGGAAAAACATTTCCTACTAACATTGGATTATAAGCAGATTATTTGAAGTGGTTATATTCATACTTCTGTTAATCCATAATTACGTATGGCTGCTTAAAAGTACACAGCCATTTGGTGTCCCCCTAGGTTCTGTTCTGAGCCCCTTCTGCTTTCATCATATTTGTTCCCTCTTTGTCAATTTTAAAGACTTTAAAAGGCAATAAGTTACATTACAGAACGTTTGTGTCCAGCAGATCCCGGAGGTCTTGGGTGCAGGCGCTACTGATATGATAGTACTGTGAACCACTTCATGTTTTTTTATTTTTGACTGTGTGCTGATATAGAAGCAAAATCAGTTTTCTAACATGGATAAATCTGTTAGTTGTGGCACTTTTGGAACTGTATATTAAATATGATTAAACAAATTCTATAACTGCACTTTTGTTAATTGGATATAATGTAGAATACGTTCAGCTGTTTATGAGCTATTGCTTTCCATTTTGTTGACCACAAAAATGGACCACATTACAGGCATTTTTCTCCTAAGCATGACAGCTGCTGTTGAAAACCTCACATACAATAAGCAGCCTGATTAGGTAAAGTGGCAGCACCTGCTGTAACTTTAGTTTTTCTGTGGCCTCCAGCCAAAAACCTGATATCAGACATTTCTTCCCACGCACCGAGTTCGTTTCCAGCTCAGTAGCTGCCCTAACACCTCATTCTGTCCCTGCCTGGTGCTTCGATCAGTTATTCGCCTTTGGCTATTGATTCTGTTTGCTCCCACTGCTGACTCACGTTGACGCGTATGAGGGCTGTTTTTCTATTATGTACACATAATACTATTTTGATTTTTAATTACTTGAGAATTTGTTCCGTAAAAACAGTACAGTAAGTGTTGAGGGCAAATCAGTGATTTTTCCTCGTTGCCTTTGGTTATGACTCTTATAATGATGTCATTTCCAGATGAAAAGTACCCATTGTGGTGCTATGTTTACATGTAGCAATTAACAATTATTGATTATAGCTGTTAATTGCCGACATTCTCATGATAGTTTTACTGTCACTTTGACGTTATCTTGCTTGAAGACACTTTCAAATTGTATAGGCAAGACATTTTATACTGTTTGTTAATATGTAAAATCACCAACTCAACTTCATCTTTGAAGAAAGCTGCACAAATATGTGCTACAGCATGAGGGGAGGGGTTAGCTAGCTATCTAGATCACTCTAAATACATTAAGTTGTGACAGGTTGATGCTAACAAGTAATAAACCTAGGAATTTACACATGGACTGGTGAATCCATAATAAACTATTCTCTCAAATAACACACACACAAAAAATATGAGAAATTGTTGTCAGGGTCAGGAGGAATGATGTGTCAAAGAATGTATTGGGACTTGTTCTCTCTTAAATGTGAAATGCTCTTTAACTGAATGTTTGCAAATTTTAGTCTTCTTTCAAAATACAATTTCATGACAATGTGACATCTTCAGGGTTAAACACTGATCTTGGTCTTCACAATAATAGCTCTATTGGACATTTTATTTTAAAAATTTGCTACAATTTGTTATTCTTTATAATTTTCTTACTCCTGTTAAATAGGTCATAAGCTTTCAATAGCTGAAAAAAAAAGTAAGCATATCTGAAAATCATAAGGTTGTGTGATACAGGTAGTTTCACTGCTAACTCCAGTCTGGACATTAGTTTAATACAAGTTGACCTTCCTTGTTCATCTTTTATACCACATGTTGAATTCATTTTCCCATCTCTAGTCATTTTTTCCTCCTCTCTTTCATTTTCTTTTCTCATCCCATAATATGTTAATTATCATTACCCATTTTAGAGAAATGTTCTCTTCCCTTTCTCCCAGTGTTACCATTATCCTTCCTGCTGTTTCTCTCCCATTCTTTATGGGCCTAGCATCAATAATTCACAGTCCCCTGCAGAGACCGGCTCTTGGTGGACTTATTAAACATGAGCAGGAGAGAAAGACTGAGAGTGATTGCAGAGGTCTGAGAGAGATGCACGGGAGCGGAAATAATGGCAATAGAGATGAATCAGTGTTTGAAACATACTCAATACAGACTGGGGAAACGCAAGGAGGAAGAAATTAGTTCTCGGTGTGATATCCAATTTGATGTGGATGCATGCAGTGTGTTTATGATAGCCAGTTATAAAGTAAAGCCGTCACCAGTATCTCAAAAACACTGGGCACTCAAAACTTAAAAGTGTGGCACTTTTCTTGTGAAAATTTTGAAAGATCAAATTTATTGTGCCAAATAATTTGCGCTGAATCGCTTTTGAAAAAAGAAATTGAAACAAAATGAGTACGGTTAAACATACGTTTACCCCGTTGGTTCACACGTTTTGTGCAGGCGTGAATCTGGTGCGGACTAAACAACTGGATTGCGAAGAACTATTTATAGTTAATGCAAAATGTATTAAATGACTGAAACTGTGACAAGCAAGGCTGGATTGGAGGTTTTATCTCAATAGAGCTGGATAGTAAGGATGGTAACAAAAACAAATTGTAGAAACCTACTGTTTGAGAGCTGCAGCATAATGTCAGAGCATCATTGAATGTTTTGTTCTTTTGTATTTTTGTTTATTTCTTTCTTACTTTTCATGTATGAAAAGGGCCTGTTATGCAGCCATATGCCAACTTCAATCTGCCTTGGGGCGTATCAAACTCCTTTTGATAACTAATAATTTGAACTTTCTATTTTACATCAGGAAAGTGGTTGCCTGATTGAAAACAATATAC